TGTTGCATCACAAGTGAATTAGGATAGAATATTATTGTAATACAACAGTTTTTTAACTGAAAACCATTCGAAAAGCGATTGCGGTAACATCTTTTGAACGAAAGAAAGCGAGTCATTGCTTTCGTCACTTTCCACTGTAATACGTACGTCATTTCAGCAAAATATTACATTTCCATATTCTCAGAAATAAATAGTAGTTTTGCTGAAACGTAATGCATTTCAATGTAAATTAGGATAAACTACATGAAAACAAAAGACTTTACCTAACCTTCCGATGTTCAAGATATGTTACTCGTTTTTTTAGTAGTTTTCGGTTAAAATACTGTTATATTAGTGATATTCTATTCATACTGTGCTTGATATAATACATTCACGGAAATGTAATATATTTGCAACTACAATGCTGATGTCAACACAAGCGTGGTTACAGCGAGACTGACTGAGTGAGGGAGAGCTATGCGTGTGTGTGTGAGGTTGCGGGCGGTGTCCCGTGTTCGGTGCCACGCGCGAGTTGAATGGCGCGCGATTTGAATGTACTTCAATTACTTCAATGTACAGAATATTCCTCTGGCGGGGCAATTCGCGTATCCGTGAATGCTAAACCCGCATATGTGAAGGGCCGACTGTGTGTGTGTGTGTGTGTATATATATATATATATATATATATATATATATATATATATATATATATATATATATATATATATATATATATATATATATATATATATATATATATAAAATCAACACCTTACCCCGCCAGGATTCGAACCCACGATCTTATAATTGTGACCGGGGAACGCTACCTCTTGGCCACCAGGACACTAAAAGCAGTCCTAGACTCTGTTATATTTCACACAGAGACTGTTCAACGAGCTTTTGGCACTGTGAACCTCTAATGGGGACCACCCGTGTCCTGGTGGCCCAGAGGTAGCATTCCCCGGTCACAATTATAAGATCGTGGGTTCAAATCCTGGCGGGGTGAGGTGTTGATTATATGTAGAAGTCCGCATGCTTTGTTGGGCTAATGAAATATATATATATATACTATATATATACAGCTAGACCCCGACTTACGACTGCTTCGACTTACGACCGTCGGGACTTACGACCGCCGCAGTTGTGACCATTTTTTTTTCTTTTTTTTTCAAATGACGCATGCATTTTCTATACTGAAACGTTTCCAGTTAATGTAGTCTCCATGTAAAATTAGAAAATTATGGGGGCCCCATGTGCATTCAACTGACTACATTAAAGGTAAGTGCTCAGTCACACTGTATCCATTCCTCATTATTTATTACTTTCACTGTACTGTATCCATTCCTCATTATTTATTACTTTTACTGTACTGTATTTCATTGTAGATTTTTTATTAAAAAAATATTTTTTTTTATCTATGTCGGACTTACGACCATTCGGACTTAAGACCTGGATTTGGGTCCCTAACCCCGTCGTAAGTCGGGCCTAGCTATATATATATATATATATATATATATATATATATATATATATATATATATATATATATATATATATATATATATATATATATATATATATATACTGTTTTTTTTTTTTTCTTTATATAAGACGCAATATATAAGAAGGTGTTGGAAACTTCTATATCAACCATCCATATTTATCTGCTGAGCTATATAGTTCAGCTATGTTGTATAATTTAAAGCTAAACTATATTGTACTGAACATTTGGCTTTCAAGCCCATAAATTAAACTCGCAGGTGTTCTGGCAGATGTGCACCACTGCACTAGGGTTGCTCATTTTTCCCAATTTTAGAAAATTGTGGGTGGGGGTGTTTTTTCCCATTATTTCGTTACTCCTAAATTCATTGGTGCCAGAATTAATGAAATCCAACATGTTCTAGGGGTCGCGAATCCAAATATAAAAAATGAATTTTTGCGAAAAAACGTCAAAACTCAAGCTTTTTCTCTTATAGATCAGCAATCGCGCTGCTTTTCACTACTTAACCCTAATGGCTGGCTAGAGCAGCTATTCAGCTTTCCATTGACACCTAATTCGATTGCATGCACCTCTTAGTTGACCTTCTAGTTCAGGTCAAAGGCTTTACCTGCGTTAAGGGAACCAGATTCCAAAATATTCATAGTTTTGACTTTTCCATTTATTCGAAAACACATATCAATATTTTGCCGTCACAGTCTTTTCCATGATATATTTCTCTCTTAAAAAAACAAACATCATTGAAATAGGTCAATAACTCTAGGAGGAGATGCAATTTGAAAGTTCAATCCCCCCTCTATTCAACTCTCACAGTTGCATCAGAGCAGACTTGCTGAAGCCACTCATCTGCTTCCTGTGCTTTTCCACAAGTTGCATGACATCCTGCAGCTGCTGCTCATCCTTCGTGACTGAACCAATGAAGTCCTGCATAAGCTTTATTCTCCTTTCGGCCACGTCATTGGTTACCTTCAGGCTTCTGGAGAAATCTTTCAGCTTCATGAACTCTTCGTTTTTCTCCCAGTCTTCCACCGGTGACATCAGCCATGCTGTGCCGCACACATGATGCTCCTTGAAGATCATCCATGAACGTTCATCTATCAGGTCGGAAAGCCGTGTAGTCTGTTGGATGACCAAGTTGTCGTTGGCGTAGTCGTTCGTTTCTTCTAGGCAGCTCAATTTGGTCGCCATCTCCTTTTTCTCTGCCGCACTCAACTTCTCGCTGCACAGCGACAGAACGACGGTCTGTGGCCTTAGATACCACAGGTGGCGGCTCACGACCGCCAGCGCCGCATCAGCCACCTCACAGTCCACGGCCCTGTAGCGGAGGAGTTCGTGATGCAGTTGCAGGTCATTCACAGGCGCATCCTCGGCTACTGGTGATTTCAGCCACGCCGGTGTGTACAGCAGAGACACAAAGATCGCCATCCTCTGCAGCTTGACGCACAGGTCACTGCTGAGCTCTAGCTGGTGGCTAAACATGTAGATCTTGAGGTAGTATATGATCTTCGCCATCCAGCGAGCGTGGTGACATGCGCCAGGACGCAGAAAGTGCGTGCCGCACAGAGGATTCACACCGAGGACGAGGAGCGTTAGTTCTGCCGCTTCTTGGTAATCCTCTCTGGCCCATTCTGTGACGGTCAGCAGGTAGCTAACGGTCCTGTGTCGGAGGTGACTGAGCCAGTCAGACTCTGGTAGATTTGCAATGTCCAGCCTGAGATACTGAGAGTGATCTAGTTGACTCCACCTTTTCTTAAGAGTCTGGAAGAGAGGGTCCGTAGGGGCCGATGTTTTGCCGAAGATGTTGCTGGCAGCGGCTCTCACCACCAGTTCCATGACGTGGTGTCTGCACCCAAGCCTCAACAGCTGTTTTTCCAGCAGCGCCTCCAGATGGACAACCGCACCTTGGACTCGCCCTGTGTTGGACGACATTGTATCAAAGCACAGTGCCTTGACGTTTGAAGCGCAGCTCCAGTCCTCGATAGCACGAGCTGTTGCGCGTGCCTGGGTCAGGCCAGTGCCGTCCTTCACTGGCAAGACAGCAAGCAGCTTCCCTTCCTCATGGCCGCGCCCTGAGATGAAGATGGCCTGTCGGTGTTCTTCTTCTCCCACGACGTTCTGAAATAAGAGAAATATAAAAATTCAGACAGATAATGAAGAATTATCAAGGCTGCCTTTTTCTCCAAGCTTTTTGTTAATGATTTGATACATTTCTAACAATATATTACAATAGTCTAGGCTTTGGTAAAATATTAATGTAGTACCTAAACGTGTTCTCACCTTAACCAGCTTACCATTCCAGTGCACCACTGCATGTGGTGGAGGCGTGAAGGCTTCCCTTTGTGCGGCAGCTACCTGACGACGGTGTGAAGCTCGCGCCCGTCTCGCAGTCTCTCGAGATCCGGAACTCAAACAGATCGCCTGGCGGGTTAGCAGAGCGCAGCACTGCTGCGACCACCGAAACTATCTGCGAGCAAAAGCAGGCAAGGGTGTCAGTAGAAAATGTCGACTGTTTAAGTGCTTATCAAATAATTAACAGAAATTTCAAACATTCCAAACACATTTATGGATATACTTACAGTGAGTTCTGCTATAACGCGTGTTTTGATAACGCGAATTTGCTCTAACGCGATTTATGAATTCGGAACAATATTTGTATAACGCGATCGCTTGTTTGCTATAACGCGATTTTTGCTTACTATTTCTCCAATTTTGTGGTATTAACTGTGAATATGGTAAAGAAGAATATCTCCAAAAAGCATTCTGATGATAGAATTCCCGGTGATTATCGTAAAAGAAAGGATATAACACTTGAAGAGAAGCTTGATGTTATCAACCTCAAAATCACCCTTCTCCCCCATCAAGTTACATTCATATTTTTCCAAGGTAAAGTGTTAAATTTACTGTATGATTTCATTATTAGATATGAATGTAACATTTATTTAGACTGTGCTATCCTTTGTGTTAGGCTAACTACTAAATTTTTTCGATTTCGAGTAATCTGCACCTAACCCTATTTTCTCCATAAGCCCTGTTATTTCTATTACGCGATTTTCTATAACACGATATTTTACAAGAACACAATTATCGCGTTATAGCAGAACTACCTGTACTTCGTTATTGAATATCCGAAGACGGTCAGCGAGTTCCTTTAATGCTGGCTCTTGGAGAATGCGACGTGGAAGCTGAACCGTCACATAAGGGTGCTTTGATGTGTACCTGCCAGGTTGTATCGCTGTGTCCTTTTTATCCATTTCTACTTCCGTTGGGGTGTCAGCCACCACAGAGGTTTGAGGTCTCGAATCACTGCTGCTTGGTTCACAGGCTGCGAACCTTCCCTGTTTCGACCTTTGCTTCTCGACTCGTTCCTCCTGCTTTCTCTTCTTAGCGGCAAAAATCTTATCGTTACCACTCATGATCTTTCTCCGCGTTGGTCTTGATAGAAGGCGATGTCTTGTTGTTTGTCGGCCGGTGTAAGCAGCCGGTTCTTCTCGATGTCCTCTACGGCGTCCGGTGCTCCGATGTCCCACAACAGGTCAAGTTGAGACTTGAAGTTTTCAACCTTGTCCTTTGCAGCCCTGTCCCGACTTTTTTGTAGACTTCTCCAGTGCTCCCATAACCTTGTCAGCTTCTCCCGGCACCCCCTCTCTGAGATAGTCTTGATGCGAGCTAAATTCCAGAACGTGAGTACGTTTCTCACTGTTTCTTTAAACGTCTCCTGTCTGTCACCAGATTCATTCACTGTGTGAAAGAAGAACTTCAGGACTTGACGCATCGTCGGGAGTTTACTGCCTCTAATTGACGATGCTGGCTGGCCTACTAGATAGATTTCAGTGGCAGAACGGGTAGTGGATGATGTTGGCCTGACAGTCCCCTTAGCATTCTCCCCCGACTGCGACTCACTCTCTTCCATGATTGTATGTATATAAACAGATGAACTCTGTAAGAAAAAAACGGTTTGTAATAAAACAAAATAGGCAAACAAAATAGGGTCACATAAGAGCAATTTAATCACCTGTAGAAAATACAACATAAATAGATAACCATAAATTTACTGCCACACTATATAGCAGATTTGAGCAAATTATAAAATAACACCACAGTACCAACAACAACACAACACATGTCAAAACACTGCAAAGAAGCGCAGGGTTTTAAAGCTGCCAATGTGAACCTAGTGAATTTATAACTCCGTTAACGCAGGTAGGCTACAGCCTTTGACCTGACTTAGAAGGTCAAATAAGAGGTGCATGCAATCGAATTAGGTGTCAATGGAAAGCTGAATAGCTGCTCTAGCCAGCCATTAGGGTTAAGTAGTGAAAAGCAGCGCGATTGCTGATCTATAAGAGAAAAAGCTTGAGTTTTGACGTTTTTTCGCAAAAATTCATTTTTATATTTAGATTCGCGACCCCTAGAACATGTTGGATTTCATTAATTCTGGCACCAATGAATTCAGGAGTAACAAAATAATGGGAAAAAACACCCCCACCCACAATTTTAAAAAAGTGTGAAAAAATGAGCAACCCTACTGCACATCGATCCATCCGTGACACGACATGTCGCCGTAGGTGATCTCTGCTTGAAAGGAGCCCACAGCGTCCGGCATCTGGGAACCGTCCGCATTGTAGTACTGCAGCTGCGGCTGTGGTCCCAGGCCGCGTTTGGTGAGGCCCAGTTTCTGGAGGTGCTTCAACCCAATCACCGTAGTATCGGCGCCGGTGTCCGGTATCACCTCGATGTGACCCGACACATCACCGTGTGTGACGGCGACGCGGATGGTAGGGGAAGGGGTAGCCCTGGGGCGTGTGGTCGATTCCACCCTCCTGATGTGACTCAGCTGCTGCTTGGGGCTGCGTGGGCCATCTGAAGGGGGCTGCGTGCGAACCACCCTGAGGGAAGTGCGCTGCTTTCCTCCTCGTCTCGGGCTTTTGGGCTTGGGTTGGCGGCAGCACTTGTCATAGTGTCCATAGCGACCGCAGGCCTGACACTTGTGGCCTCGTGCAGGGCACCTGTCTGTGTTAGACCAGTGGCCCTTACGGTCACATCCACGACACAGTGCATCGGCGGCCGGGCAAGTCTTGGGGCTGTGCTGCTTTCCACAGCTGCCACAGGAAGCACTAGGCGGAGGCGTGGAAGAGCGTGTGGCAGCCTTCGCGTTGTTGGCCGCCTTCTTATCCTTCTTGTATTGTGAGATAGCTCTCACAGCAGGTGGGGCCCGTAAGGCAGAGGTGGCGGACTTGGTGGCCTCGTATGACCGACATTCAGTCACTACCACCTGGAGTGTGGAGGAAGCGTCCAGAGGGATGAGTCGCTGCATCAACTCTTCGTGCCTGACACCTGTCAAGATCCCGTGCTTGATCCAGGCTTCCTCACATTCCCGGCTGTGCGCCTTGCAGACGTCGATCTCCTCCGACAAACTCCTCAAACGTACAAAAAAGTCGTCAAAGGATTCGTTCTCCGCCTGCTTGCAGCTGGTAAGGGCACGGCGACGCAAAGCCTCGTTGTTCCGACCCTTAACATGCTCCTGTAAAAGGTCGAGCACATCCGTCACTGAAGAGGTAGAGTCGGGAGGCACGTGCAACGTGTGCTCCAAAACTCTCTGGGTCTCCAGCGACAAACACATCCGCAGTTGGATGAGCTGTTTGTTTGGAGGCATGCTGTCAAGGTCCACCATCGTTGAGTAATCTGTCCAACGCCGCCTCCACTCACGAAAAAGCTGAAACGTGACGTCTGGTGAGAGGGCGGGTGGGGTTGAACAGATGCCTTGGGAGCTGTTGGGGTAGCAAGAGTACCTGGAGGACGCTGGTGTGGTGGAGGAGGGAGTGTACTGGCGCCTTGAAGCGCGCTACCTGCAAGTGAGGGAGGGTGGGTTAGCGCCAGGGTCACCAATAGCGCCTCAAAACGCAACTTTTCCTCCTCTCTTCGTGTCTCCTCCCTCTGAAGTTCATTTCATCTCTTGATGGAGGCGTGAGTCGTGTCTCCCATCTTGACGTCCCTTCTTACCTCCCATCTTTGTGTGTGCGTGGACTGCACTGTTTAATATATAAAGTGGCGCCTCAACAGCTCGAACCACATATATATGACATAAACAGCGCAAAAATCACGCCTGTGGTCCACTGTTCTGTCCGTGAGTGAGTGCGTGCGTGCGTGTGTGTGTGTGTCTCAGAGCAGAGCGTGGTGGCTGGCGGTCGGCGGAGGCAAGACCAGTGTCCCACCGGATGTCGCACGAGAAGGGTGTACGCCTGCGTGCTCCGTGGGTACCACAAAAAAACAGGCCAATGCTCAACTCAGCTCTAGACACACACTAATACACTGACACTAACACTGCCACCGTCACTAAAACGCACTGTGACGGCGCAACACTGCACATCGCGGCGAAACACAGCGCAACACAACACAACACACTATGAGTCGACGCGCATCACCGGCAGACGTAACTGTCGGCATTGTTCACACACTTTGTAAGTCCACAGATCCTAGACACTGCGCCATGAAAGTTACTAGTGTGCCCTGAAGAATGCAGTGATGGCTAGGGAAACACTGTGTAACACTGAGTCCGTTTATTGTGGATGAGAGAAATACAAGTGGTGACCAGCGTGTGCCAAGCACAGCTCACACAGTCAGACTGAGGCTGCCTTGCCATATGGCAGCCTCGGGGCAATGTTGCCACATAACACGTGCAGTGTTGCCACGTGATTATATATATAAATGCTACTCGGCACAGTAGCTTATGTACAGGGTTGCTACTCGGCACAGTAGCTTATGTACAGGGTTGCTACTCGGCACAGTAGCTTAGATACATAACCTACAGGGCATGGTACTAAAATGGTTGGGAACCACTGGGTTAGAGGCTACAGAGACCTCCACATTTCAGGATTTGTTAAATTTGGTAGTCCTGGAGGAGTGGAAGAGCAATATACCATTTCACATCTTGAAGCATGTGGAGGAGCGTGGAGAGGTTAATTTAGGGTGTGCTGCTGAGCTGGCTGTTGCGTACGCCTTGCTGGTGGAGTCACTGGGCAGTAGAGAACGTGGTACTTCCCGACATGTTAGGTCCTCCTTTGATGATAACCTTGGGGGCGTGAGTGGTAGGTCGAAAGGTCCCACACCTACCTCCCCCTGATGCAACCAAGTTTACTTGTTCTTACTGTAAAAACCCAGGCCATATGATCCAGACTTGTAAACACCCAAAGTGTCGAATTGCTAAAAGTAGTTCCCTGGATCCCAAATCCAAACCAATAGCAACCACCAATGTGGAAAGGCCCCATCAGGATCTCTTCTCTTCATTCACCTATGAGGGAAAAATTTCAATCATAGAGGGGTCTCGTTCTTTCCCTATTCGTATACTACGTGATACGGGCGCAGCACACTCTATCCTCCTGTTTAACGTCATTCCTGATATATCTACCGCATTTACTAATGAGAGTGTTCTAATTTCAGATCTCTCATCCCATTCTTCCTATCCCTTGGCTAAAGTGCACCTCCAATGTCCCTTGATTACTGGGAAGTGCAAGTAGCCATTAGGGAAGATCCAATGCCTGTGAGCGGCATTCATTTATTATTGGGTAATGACTTGGTAGGAGATCTAGTGGTTCCCAACATAAAGACAGTCGACTCTCCCTTACCTGTCAACTCCACCACTGACCTTGAAGAAACTATTCCTCACCTTTTCCCATCTTGTGCTGTCACCCGGTCAAAGAGTGTGCGAAATGGGCCCTCTTCATCTAAAACCACCTCCAATATCTTCCTACCCACAGAACATCTGTACAATAAGACCATTAGTAAGGATGAGCTCTTTAAAGCCCAACAATCTGATCCATCTGTGTTCAAACAGGTGATGAAAGACCTCAGTGTGGACCATTGTACGTCTTCGGCTTACCACCCACAATCCCAAGGTTGCTTGGAACGGTTCCATCAAAACTTTCAAATCAATGCTAATAAACTATCTCCCGTCAACTATATAGTCCATACTCCTGATCTCAGAAAAGATTCACAACTTGTTCACATTAATCTCATGAAACTTTACCATTCCAGGCAGTCAGAGGAAGACATCCCAGAGGCTATAAGCCTACCTGTATTGCATACGGCTTTGTCAGGGCCGGAGCCGGAGACAGATGACATGGACCTATTGGAGAATTTAGACTTCCCTCTACCAAAAGAAAACCCTGCTAATAGTCACATACTCAACAACTTGGATGAGTATTTTTCTGTTCTGAATCCATCTCAAGCAAAAGATCTCACCAAGTTATTATCA